TTTTTTTAAAAAAAGTTATTGAGGTGGATTTTGAGGTTTTTAAGAAGATAATGCTTGTGTGACCCAACCTCCGCGCTCCCGCAGTCCCCGCGCATGCACACCTGACACCTCGCCCCCCCCCAAACGCCCTGTTTTCGGCCTAGTAGGCTTCCCTGCAACCTCCTGGGAGCAAAAATGGGCTGCGGGGGGGGGGGGGTAGCACCCCACCTTGCACACCCCCATGCCCTCTGCGCATGCACACAGGTCTCCCCTATGCACCCCACTCCCGGGCATGCTCGGAAGAGACCCAAAAGTGAGCTGGCCAGCAGGAGGCACGCACGCATGCGCAGTGGAGCTGAGCTGGGCGTGCTGGCAGAGAGGGTTCTTCGAGGTTCGCCGTCACAGGTTCGCCATCACGGGTCTAGGGTCTCCTGCTTGAGCAGGGGGTTGGACTAGAAGACCTCCAAGGTCCCTTCCAATTCAGTTTCTTTTGTTATTCTATGAATTAATCGGTGCCTCCAGAAACTGGAGGTGCTCCATCACTGGAGGTTTTTAAGAAGAAGGCTGGACAGCCACTTGTCTGGAATGGTGTCCTGCTTGAGTAGGGGGCCAGACTAGAAGACCTCCAAGGTCCCTTCCGACTCTGTGATTCGGCTATTCAGATAATATTCGAAAACACCCCCCCATCTCACTGCAGAAAAGGGAAAAGGAGTCAAGCAGAATCAGACTTGCAAAATTTGTGGTGTTATAACCCATCCCAGGACTACAGGTAGTCCTCGATTTACAGCAATTCATTTAATGACCGTTCGAAGTCACAACGGTACTGAAAAAAGTGACCTATGGCCATTTCTTACACTTATACGACCGTTGCGCCATTCCCGTGGTCACCTGATCAGAATTCAGACTCTCGATTCGATTGATTCATATTTACGACGGTTGTTGCGGCATCCTGAGGGCCCCCGCGATCCCCTTTCGCGACCTTCCGCCAAGCCAAGTCAGTGGGGAATCCAGATTCACTTAACAACTGCAAGGGGGTTCACTTAACAACCGTGACAAGCCGGATCGTAAACTAGGGCAAATGTCACGTAAAGCCTGTTTCGCTTCGCAACAGAAATGTTGGCCTCTGTTGTGGTCGTAAATCGAGGACTACCTGTCTTGTGCCTGCTTGGGGCAAAGGGTGGGGTGGGGTGATATATCTCTTCATTGCAGCAATGGGGGGTGGGGGGAAATCTAATTTTGGTCTGACGTATGTTTGGAGAGGATTTGGGAGTCTGGGAAGGAAGTCAACTTTGTCCCAGTTGGAGTTTCTGATAAGAGGCTTTTCCTGAACTGAGAAAAACAAGGATCCACTAAGTAAAAGAAAGAAATTATGAGTAAAACAAGGGGGTCAAGATTGGTGAATCCAAATCAGGATGATAGCTGGAAAATAGACTGTAGAATCCTAAAGAAAAAAGGAAAGGATATGAAACAAAGTTGGGTGTGTGGAAATACCATCCCCAAGAAAACATGAACTGGGATCTGAAAGAGACACCTATAACAATAGAAAAAGAAAGGAAGGGAAGAAGGAAGGAAAGGAGGGGAGGAAGGAAGTAGAGAATGGAGGGACGAAGGAAAGGAAAGGAGTGGAGGGTAGAAGAGAGAGGAAGAGAAGGAGAGAAAGTAGGAGTGGAAGAAGAAATGTGGAGGAGAGGTAAGGGAAGAAGAAAGAGGTAAGGAAAGGTGGGTAGAAGGGAGAGAAAAAGAAGAGGAGGAGATAGGAAGAGAAAGAAAGAGAAGGAGAGAAGGTAGGAAGGAGAAGAAAAAGGGTAGGAGTAGGGGAGAGGTAAGGGAAGGAAGAAGGGGACGGAGACGAGGAAGGAAGGAAGTAGAGAAGGAAGGGAGGGAGAAAAGAAAAGAAAGAGAAAACGAGGTAGTGTCTTAGCAGGATGGTAAACAAACCATTTTAAACTATACCTTATAACCTTCCAAATGGAATAATAATAATATAAGAATGGCAAAGAAAAAGAATAATTATGTGAATGTATATCTATAATCTGTATGTGAGAGAATAAATGACAGTAAAAATATAAAGCACAATATAGGTAAATAATATTTGGCCATAAGTAGCTAAGTTTAAATAAATAAAGAAATGTACATAAAAATGGATAGCAAATAAGGAGATTATGAATGAAAGATAGAAATGTATAGTAGGAAAAACACTAACTGCAAAGAAACCGATTCGGAACTGCGGTATGATATACGATGGAACTTATTGTTCCTATGTTGTTTTTAAGTTATGTGTTTTTTTTGTTGATGTGCTTATGTGTTTAAAATAATAAAATAAATTTTAAAAAAAGAAAGAAATTAGAGGTTTTGTGGAAGGTGGCCGAACAAATCTCTATGCTAATGGACAACTGCGGTTAGTTCTGGACTTACGACCGTTCGTTTAGTGACCAAAGTTAAAACGGCACCGAAAAAAAAGGGATCGTTTTTCACACTTAACGACCGTGGCAGCCTCCTCATGGTCACGTGATCAAAATTCGAGCGCTTGTCAACTGACTCATATTTATGACGGTGTCCCGGGGTGACATGGCCCCCTTTTTCCGACCATGGGAAAGCCAGATTCATTTTACCACCTTGTTACTGACTTAACATCTGCAGCGATTCACTTAACAACTGTGCCCCAAAAGGCCGGGAAAAGGGGGAAAGTCTCCCTTAACGACTGTCACACTCAGCCGCAGAAATCCTGGTCTCTGTACTGGTCGTAAGTCGAGGACTACCTGGTACTTGACACACCTAATTTGAGGCCATGCAAAAATGACCTTTGAAATGTTGACGTTTTAACTCGGCTGAATGACTGTATTTTGGGGGGCAAGAATTCATTAACGAGAAGAGCCAAAGGACAAAAATTCGGGGGAATCTTTCCCTACGATAGCAAGGTGAAGAAAAATTAGCATCCACAATATTTGCAGCAAGCAAGGAAAGGTGTTTAGAAATTTGGGGGCTGCAACTGTGAACTTGAAGCTTTGCAGCCTTTTAAATGCGTCGCCTGTTCAACAGCTGTAAAAAGAAACCAGCTTTTTTTTTTAATCATGCAATCGTGGCTACGTTTTAAACCACCTTCTTCTTCTGAATGTTTGTCATCCGAAGCCAAACAAACTTTGATTCTGCAATTGCTGAGCTGACTCTGTTTCTCAAGGACGCCGATGCCAGGGTCTACGTTTTCATTCCCCACCCCTTTAAAAGACAATCCGTTTATTATTGGATTTTTTTGGTCTTCTCTGAGCTCTGTTGTTCTTTTCCTGTAGACGTTTCCTTCCCAGCGTAGGTAACGCCATCCGTTCGTTGGGGAGTGAAGGGTTGGTTGCTAAGCAGGAAACAAAGACCCTCTCCGAAGATAAATGCATCAAACAGATATTATTATTTTCCCCCCCCAGATCTCATTTCTTGAAAGTGAGGAATGCAGCGCTCATGATTCAGCGGAATTGGAGAGGACACAATTGTCGAAGAAACTATGAAGCTGTAAGTATGTCTGAATGTTGCCCAGATCTTATTATTCTTTGTCTCCTTCAGCCAGCTATGCTGGCAGGGGAATTCTGGGAGTTGAAGTCCACCTGTCTTAAAGTTGCCCAGTGGCATGGCTGGCTAAGGAATTCTGGGAGTTGAAGTCCACCAGTCTTAAAGTTGCCAAGTGGCACGGCTGGCAGGGGAATTCTGGGAGTTGAAGTCCACCAGTCTTAAAGTTGCCCAGTGGCATAGCTGGCAGGGGAATTCTGGGAGTTGAAGTCCACCAGTCTTAAAGTTGCCAAGTGGCATGGCTGGCAGGGGAATTCTGGGAGTTGAAGTCCATCTGTCTTAAAGCTGCCGAATAGCATGGCTGGCAGGGGAATTCTGGGAGTTGAAGTCCAGAAGTCTTGAAATTGCCAAGATTGGAGATCCCTGTTCTAAGGAAACCTCAGGGCCAGACCTACCATTAGGTCCTCAGCATGGCTAGCTAAGGAATTCTGGGAGTTAAAGTCCACCAGTCTTAAAGTTGCCCAGTGGCATGGCTGGCTGAGGAATTCTGGGAGTTGAAGTCCACAAGTCATAAAAGTTGCTGACGTTGGAGACCCCTGCTATATATTCACCCTTTGCTCTTCCTTCATTGGTCATCTGTGCAGAGAAAACCCAATTTCACATGTCCCCGAATCTGCCTCCCTCCCTTTTGTAATCGGTCCTTCCTGATCCCAGATGAGAATCGGCTTCCTGAGACTTCAAGCTCTCTACCGTTCCCGCAAACTCCACCGGCAGTACCACATGGCTCGCCAGCGCATCATCGAATTCCAGGCCAGGTGCCGCGGCTTCTTGGTGCGCCGTGCTTTCCGCCATCGCCTGTGGGCGGTCTTCACCATCCAGGCCTACGGACGTGGGATGATTGCCCGGCGGCTCTACAAACGGCTGAAGGGGGAGGTAAGACTCAAAAGGTCCAAGGAGATCCGGAGTAGGAATAGTTTCTTGGTCGGAAAGCTGACCTCCTCCAAGGAGACTTTTAACACCATCCCACAAATGTCTGCCTATCCCAGATCCTAGGGAAAGTCTGGGTAGGTGATAAAAATGTCACGGCTGGCTGGGAAAACCGATGGAGTTAGGAGATGACTAATTTTTTATTTTTGTTTTAGTCAAAGAAAAGAACACATCTAATTTTGTTTCCGCTCGGAAACCATTTCTGAACTTTGTGCTTGAGATGGGGGGGGGGGGGAAGACGAAACTTTGATTCTGCTTTTTGTTTACTCATGTCAGGATTAGAATAAGGCATGAAAATTAAATTACAAAATAGAAGATTAAAAGATGTACAAATTAAAGAGATCTTGCTCAGAAACTAAATGGCTAAAACTGACTGTTTTTAGTAAAAACAAAAACAAAAAAAACATCTAACTTGGAAACCATTTCTGGACTTTGTGCTTGAGGTGCTATATTCAGAAAGACTATTAAATAATTGATGGCTGAAGTGGCGAAATCTATCAAAGCATTTGGCTGATTGTGCGACCAACCATAATAATAATAATAATAACAATGCACTCTTGCACATCTCCAAAAAATCCATCTCGTTTGTCCCTAACGTCAGACCATTGGGCCATTCTATCTGCACTCCCCCCAGCCAACATGAGAGGCTGGTTGGTAAAGTAAATCCATGGATTGCTTAGTGCTAAGGTTGCATTTCTTTCTGTAGTATTTCCGACGGCTGGAAGCTGAAAAACTACGCCTGCTGGAAGAGGAACGGCTGAGGAAGGAAATGAGTGCAAAGAAAGCCAAGGAGGAAGCAGAAAAGAAACACCAAGTAGGCTCAGAGACTCTTGGAGTTGGAACGGACCTTGGAGGTCATAAAATCATAGATTCCTATGGGGTTGGAAGGGACCTTGGAGGTTGTAGAATCATAGACTCCTAGGGCTGGAAGGGACTTGGAGGTCAAAGAATGATAGATTCCTAGGGTTGGAAGGGACCTTGGAGGTCACAGAATCATAGACTCCTAGGGTTGGAAGGGATCTTGGAGGTTGTAGAATCATAGATTCCTAGGGCTGGAAGGGACCTTGTAGGTCATAAAATCATAGATTCCTATGGGGTTGGAAGGGACCTTGGAGGTCACAGAATCATAGACTCCTAGGGTTGGAAGGGACCTTGGAGGTCATAAAATCATAGATTCCTATGGGGTTGGAAGGGACCTTGGAGGTCACAGAATCATAGACTTCTAGGGTTGGAAGGGACCTTGTAGGTCATAAAATCATAGATTCCTAGGGTTGGAAGGAAACTGGGAGGTCATAAAATCATAGATTCCTAGGGTTGGAAGGGACCTGGGAGGTCATAGAATCATAGATTCCTAGGGTTGGAAGGGACCTTGGAGATCACAGAATCATGGATTCCTAGGGTTGGAAGGGACCTTGGAGGTCACAGAATTATAGATTCCTAGGGCTGGAAGGGACCTTGGGGGGGTTATAAAATCATAGATTCCTAGGGCTGGAAGGGACCTTGGGGGTTATAAAATCATAGATTCCTAGGGTTGGAAGGGACCGTGGAGGTCACAGAATCATAGATTCCTAGGGCTGGAAGGGACCTTGGGGGTTATAAAATCATAGATTCCTAGGGTTGGAAGGGACCTTGCAGGGCTATACCATTTGGAGAGGACATATCTCCACGTATAATGAGGTTCTCTAACCTGGGAATGAGAAGAGATATTTACAAAGGGGTGCAAAACCTGAGCAAGCAGACTTCCTATTCATATTTCATAAGTGGGAAGCCTTTTCACCCATCAATCCAGAGAGTTAGAAAGAAGATCAGCAGCCTCAAGGAAGATCTGCTTTCACATCCCCTCTGATAAAAGTGGGACTAAAGTCTAGTTAAATCTAGTTTCCAAGATTCTGCAACTGAGCAAATTGTTAAGACTTGAAGGGCTGCCCCATTTGACTGGGATGGTATAGAAGACCTCCAAGGTCCCTTCCAGCCCTATGCTTCTATGAAGAGGGCGTCAATTTATTCTCCATAGAACAGGATAGGAAGCAGAGGGTGGAAGCTGTTCAAAGGGAGATCCAACCTGGAAATAAGGAGAAATTTCCTGACAGTGAGGACGATTAACCAGTGGAACAGCTTGCCACCAGAAGTTGTGGGTACTCCAACACTGGAAGTCTTTAAGAAGATGTCGGATAACTATTTGTCTGGAATGGAATAGGGTTTCCTGCTTGGGCAGGAGGGTTGGACTAGAAGACCTCCAAGGGTCTCTTATTCTGTGAATCTTTCCCCTTCTTTGTAGTTGCGCCTGGCCCAGCTGGCCCGAGAAGACGCGGAGAGAGAGATCAAAGAGAAAGCGGAAACTCGCCGGAAGAAGGAACTCCTGCAGAAGATGGAGAAGGCGCGGAACGAGCCCGTGAACGATTCGGACATGGTGGACAAAATGTTTGGCTTCCTGGGAATGACGGCATCGTTGCCGGGCCAGGAAGGACAGGCACCCGATGGCTTTGAGGTAAGCAAGACTGAGAGATGGTGGAGAGATTGGGAAAGGACAGATAATCCTTGACTTATAACCATTCGTTTAGTGACCATTCGAAGNATCTAGTTTTGGTAATGAAATATCTGCAAGAAAACAAAGAAACTCAGTGTGTGTGTGTGTGTGTGTTTGTGTGTGTGTGTGTGTTGTGTTGAACCATAAAATTGAATGTAATCAACTTAATTTTCAGAGTTGATTCAAATGGTCAGACTGGATCTGATCAATGATCCCAATCTATGATTTAAATCAAAGTCAGCTAATTGCATACTGTACATCTAATTATATTTAATCAGTAAAGTTGATATGTTTTATGTTTGTATTCAACTGTAGTTGCTGTAAACTGAAATCTCCATTATATAATAATGTGAAAGGGAAAATATTCATTTACTGAGCAGCCCATGTCTACCTCTCAGATCTTAAGGCATTAAAGATATTTGAATGACACCAGCTATAAGGAGCTGTTCTGATTTCTGGTATCTCTTCTTTGGTGTGTAAAAAGTAGCATATTGTGTACCACACCAGCAGTGGCAACATAATCTGTGACAAAAGTTATCATTGATATCCTTCACCTTTATGCTGTGACAACACAGAGGGCACCTAGTTTCCTTAGAATTAAACAGATATTGCTAACAGAACATAAATACCCATAGGTTTCATTTAAAAAATGTCTTCTGAGACTGATGCTAATAACAATTTGTTATTGTAAAGGTAACAATTTACTTTCCACTGCAATGTCAACATTGTAATAAACATTTAGTTATAAGTTCCCTTTTGTAGCATAACATCTGTGCCCTGATTATGAGGATTGGATCATTAATTATGCTTGACAATTCTATCACTTTTCTTGCCTCAAACATTCTTCAGGATGTTGGCAGAAAGACATCACTGGAAAGAATAAATCATCCTTTCACTTTGATATTTTCCTTAATTCTGTTACAGTGACTGTTAAATGGCTATACTAAAAGGATATTAAAAGACATGTCCATTTTAAGTGTGTTAACTATTCAGAAATGCTATAAACATAAATTGAAAACTAAAATAAATGCAAAGTTCCAGAGATTCATGCTTCATCATGATAATAGAGAGGCAAAATCTTAGTTCACTGATGTATTGTAAAAGTGTGGATTACCTTATCATTCCTCAGCATTTGGTGAACAAACTGTGCCTATTACATTTTAATACACCTTTATGTAATTGGATACTTGATTTTCTTATTGATGCTGTGTCTTGAGTCTGTTACTGTTCACCTTGATGACCAACAACTGCTGTACAAATTATATTGTGAAATATGTAGATGACACGGCAGTAGTAGGTCTTATCCGGGAAGACAATGAAGATACTTATAGGAAAGAAATGAAGATCCTGGTGGACTGGTGCAATAAAAGCAACCTGGTTCTAAATTTTGATAAAACAAAGGAGATCATTATAGATTTTAGAAAGAGCCGGCATAGTCATGCTCCACTCAGTATCAAGGATACAGCTGTAGAGATGGTCAACAGTATTAAGTATCTGGGGGTGCAGATAACTAACAATCTGAATTAATCTGTCCACACATCATCCTTAGCGAAGCGTGCAAAGCAGCATCTACATTTCCTGTGTCGGATGAAAAGTGCACCTCTTTCTCCTTCCGTCCTGGTCACTTTTTACAGAGGCATGATTAAGAGTGTTTTAACAAACTGCATCACTATTTGGTTTGATGGCAGCAGTGCCTCAGATAGAAAGTCCACACAGAGAAAACAGGCGAGAAGATTATAGGAAGCTCACTTCCTGTTATTCAGAATACTGCTTATAAGCACTATGTGCTTAAAGCAAAAAACATTGTTAGAAACTCCACACAGCCACTTTATGGTCTGTTTTAGTTACTTCCCTTAGAGTAACAAAAGGTTTCTCCTCAAAACCTTGGGAGGAGGTTTCAAAGTATTTCTAGCAGGTCTACCAGATTCTGTAACAGCTTTGTTCCCTATGCCATTCATCTGGTAACTTGCAAAATTTGTTTTTCTCATCATGTATATGTATATTAGAACTAGGCTGTGTTGTTTCTCTGTGTCATATAATATGTGTGATTATACACATAATTTTGTATTTGTTTATTTATTTATTTGTCATGGTTATGTAGTGTATATTGGAGGTGGTGGGCCTTTGAGAACTGTATGCAATGAAATTTCATTTTAATGTATGCAGATTAGTGTACATTCAAAATGACATAAATTATTCTATTCTATTCTATTCTATTCTCCTCTTAGTGGATACATTATTTTGACAAATCAGTATTGAGTACAGATCTATTAGATGAGATTGTGGGGACTCAGTCATGTATGAGATAGGGAAGGATAGTGGGATAGTTTCAGTTTCTCTGTGGTTGCATGTAAGGACAAGTGGATTGGTAAGTATCCAAAAAATTAATATAGTGGTATCCTGATAGTTGTAATTAATTGGTTCCAGGAGATGTGATGAGTACTAAAAATGACAAGTGCCAAACAAACCAAATGACTTACTATTTGACCCTTTGTTTTGGACAGGAAAGACTTCCTGTTTGTTCTTTTTCCTATGTCAGCAACTTTCCCAGCATGACTGCTTCTTATCTGTCCTCTTCTTTTTGCAACAATCTTCCCAGCATTGCTGACTTCCTGTCCATTCTCCACAGCCAACTGCCTTTTCCTATCATAGTGCTTCAAATAACAAGCAAGCAATGAGGAATTTTTTTTTTGCATCAAAATGTGTCAAGTACCAAATTCGACAAATTTGGAAGCAGTCAAGAACCAAGGTACCACTGTACTAGCAATTTCTAGTGAATTCAACTGACAGAGTATGCAATTTTATCAGCTGCCAACCACAGAACTTAGCAGAAGTTAAATCCTTATGAATAAAAAAGCTATCTGCAGTTCAGTTCACTTCTTCAAAAACAGTATTCTTCTCTCATGACTTCTAGCTCCTAGATTTAGCTCCCAGATCTCAGTTATTGCATCACATAGTGTTCTTGTGGTCTTTACACTATGGATTTCCCTTAGATCAGTGATCTTACCAAGATTTAGTGTTAACTCTTCTCCCCATAGGCTCAAATAAGCAAAAAAAAAACCCAACAACATTTGAAGCCAAAAAAAAAACAAAAAAAAACACCATTGTTTCCAAACTTTTGTAAAACATTTGGAATGAAACTATACTTCTATTAGCACGTTCATTCATTCAGTGATATACTGTAAAACACGACCCACTCCCAAAAGAAGGCCCAGCACAGTTTTGTGCACATTTGTTAAAATTAATCCCTACCCCCAAAATTTGGCCCTATTTAAGCACATGCGTGGCCAGGCTAGCTGGAGTGGACCATGGCAGGCTTTATTGGGTGGACGGCTACCAGTAACTGGAGTGACCATTACAGGTAGGCAAAGGTGTGCAAGGCATGTGGGTCGCGTTGCTTACTCTTTTCAGGCATGAAAGAAGTGTCCCAGTGGCAAGGCACATCGGATGAGTGGGTTGCTCCTTTTGGCCATGGAAGAATCAGCCTAGTGGCTAGATAAAGCACGTCGGAGAAAAATTAAGACACCCCTTGAAAAGAAAGAAGGCCTACCCATTTTTTTTTGGGGGGGGTGTCAAAAGGAAATAGGATCCAGCCATATTTTTGAAGAAACACAGTAGTTTCTTGTTACCAAGTTATAAAGTACTTAAAGAGATAATGCAACTAGTATCAACCTATTTGACTTAATATCTGGAAAGTGAATTTGGTATAAGTCAAATGAAATGTTGAATACATTGTGGAAAATATCAAAAGTCTTACTCAAGTCTGTCCAACTTATATTGTCTCTGATAAAACTGATCGTTATAGTTTTTTGTATATTATAGAATAAACCACATTAAATATGGAATTTTATCATGACAATATCAGACACTATTGTTTTTTGTTTTAAAGTCATGAATTTTTGTAATTGCTAAGTTATTTTCAGAAGCAAAACTTTCAACACTGAATAACAAACTATCCAACTTTTTTTAACCTTACATGGCATGTTGTATGATTTTCATGATAATTCATTAATCACATACTCCTGCAATAATACATGTTATTTAAAAACTGCTATTCCTATTTTTGGTCATGTCTAGTATATGTTGACATGTTTTAACCTCTGAACAGAAGTTAGAAAAATTGAGGGGATAAATTACATTGTTTGTATGTGTGTATGGTATGTAAGTATGTATGTATTTTACTTATTTATTTATTTATGCTTTGTATTGTTGTTATTTTACTAGACTATACTTTAACAGAAGTACAAAATATTAAATGAACATTTTTAGTGATATAAGTACTTAATCCAAATCCTATTCTTATACTAGATTTAGCATAGCTATTATATGACTTCATAAATCTCTCTCCTGTGGAGGGAGGCTTGACTTGTAACAGAAAGATGATGTAGAAAAGAGAATTTATGCCTTTGTAGCACTGCTGATTCTCTGATGTAATATAGCCATGGAGCACAGAATGCCAATTAACCATACTCCTGCTCTTCTGAAAATATCATTTTCTAATGTAGTCATTTTACAGAGTCTATGCTTCTTGCCTTTACCTATTGGTGAAGCTTAATGGATATCTTGAGCTATTCTTGGTATAACTTTGAATAAATATACAAATTAATGCTTTCTTTGCTCATTTCTCTATTCTTTCTTATTCTTGATAAAAGACTGAATATAATTACTGAAGGATATAAAGGTGATAAGTTCTGAGTATATACTGTACCATTATTTTGTAGTGTCAAGAGTAGAATGGAGGGAGATTGACATAACAAAATAAATGAAATAAACTACAGTGAAAGAAGAAAGAATAACACCATAAAAATACTAGAATTTACTTTCTTACTTTCTCTCTCTCTCTCTCTCCCTCTCTCTCTCTTAAATTTAATAGAATTTTAAATAAGAAAGATAAAAATTAACAGAACTTTAGAATATTTAGAATATTAGCAATTATGTAATAATATTTTAAAATAAAGAAA